AAAAAAAAAAAGGATTGGTAGGGCATGTGTGGTGGGCAGTGGGGGAGATGGGGAAGGTGGGGGGATTTCAGGAGTCAACAGTGAGGGCAGGAGGGGAGTGAGCACTAGAAGTGACAGTGATTACACAGCTCATTTTAGAGGTCACTTAGTCATGGGAGAAACAAATGTTCGGAAACTGATTGTGGTAATGATTGTATCATTCTTCTGACAAGATCGAAGGATTGAATTGTATGCCGTGGATTATGTGACAATAAAACTGAAAAATAAATAAACAAAGAGGAACGTCTGGGACGACAGAGAGACCGTGTCGGGCTTTGAGACGGGCGTGTGGGACGCAGAGAGCCACGGTCCAGCTGATCCCTGGTCCAGACAGGAAGCAGGGGACTAACTAGAGTCATGTCCAGGGGGTCGGACCCTCCCGGTCCCTGCGTGGCGATAAACCTTCACACAGGACAAATTCCTGGAACCAGATTTATCTCGGAGTCGCCCGGGCACTGATCAACACCTGAAGGACCTTTCTGACATTTTGGCACATCAAGCTAATTGGCAGGAGACACGGCACGCTGATAATGCCTAATTGATTTACTGTCTTATGGCCCTTGTATAAAGCCGATTGCCTTAGACAGAGATAAAGGAAGCCTTGAACTCTGGAGCCAGGGTAAAGTAGGGACCTTTGAGGGTTCCAGGGTCTAGAAGCTAACAGGCCAAACCAGAGCTGTGTCTAGGTGAGAACATGGGAAAGGCCTGGCCAGCAGAAGTTCCCCCCGTACCCCACCCCCCACCCTCAGTACACATCCTCAAGTTGCCCTCCCACAGGGCAGCTCACCGGGTGGATGTCCAGGAACAAGGAGTGTTCTTTTTTATCTGGGTGCAGGCCGAGCACCGCCTCTGCCAAGACCGGGTCTGCATTGTAGAAGTGGGGATGCGAGAGGAACAGGGGTGCACCTGGAACGAGGGGGCCGAGGAGGGCTGTCAGACGGAGAGGGAGGTGGGCCGCAGACAGGGAAACAAGGCCCTACTGCACGCCAAGCACCCCCCACCCCGGGGGTGCACCCACAGCCCAGCCAGGCCACGCCAGCTCCTTTGTTCTCCCTGGCAGCTCCTACCCAGTGGGCGCATGGTGGGGCCCATGTGCTGCTGCAGGCGGATGGGGAGCAGCGGTCCGAGATGCGGGACAGAAGGACGGGCCCGAGAGAGGGCTCCAGGCAGAGGTGTTCTGGGTGCCAGGCCCGCAGACGCAGAGGTCAGGCGGGCGGGAGGAAAAGACCCAGAGGTGGAGGCAGTGAGAAGGGTCATGAGGGGAAAGACTGGAACTAGGGGTCAGGGGAGGCCTGAACAGGTCGTTGAGGGGGCGGGGCACCTGGAGCACCGCGTCTGACAGCACAACACAGCACCGACCGGAGAAACTCAGGGGACAGCACCTGTGGGCACCTGCCTGCCAGGCCCCTTCCCGCCCGGCAATGGGTCTGTAGGATGGATATCCGCCCCTCTCCATCAACCAGCCATGCCAGGCAATCCCCAACCCTTGGACACTGGGGACCACTTCACAGTGAATTAGCAGGGAAACAGTTGTCCCCCAAAACTCCAAGGGTCCATGATGGGTCATGGCCATGGAGACAGGGCACTGAGTAGCGAATGTTGGGGGGCAGGGGAGGTTACAACTGTGGGTGGGAGCAGGGAGTTCTTCTGGGTGATGAGAAGGTTCCAGCACCAGAGAGGTGGAGGTTGCACAGCCCTGTGGGTGGCACGAGCAGCACCGGAAATGGTTCATCTTACATGAGGTGAGTTTCACATCCATCTTTTTACAAAAGGAACTATTACCTGAGACACCCCTTCACCTTTGCATGGAAATTGGTCCCTGACGTCACCCTCTAGCCCAGTGGTTCTCAACCGTCCTAATGCCGCAACCCTTTAATACAGCTCCTCATGTGGTACTGACCCCCCCCCACAACCATTTTCATTGCTACTTCATCACTGTCATTCTGCTACTGCTATGAATCGGGCGACCCCTGTGAAAGGGCCGTTTGACCTCCAAGGGGGTCGTGACCCACAGGTTGAGAACCGCTGCTACAGCCAAATGGCAGACTGGCTCCATCAGTCCTACGGCCGGTGAGTCCCGTGTTCTTTCAGAAGAGCCTCAACGAGGGCCTTAAACAAAGGGGCCGGGAGACGAGAGGCAGGGAGACGGGGGAAGCAGAAGAGAAATCCTGAGAGCGTTCACCCTGTGCAGAAATTGTCCAACGGGAGCCTGACCGCTGTGTCAACCTTCACCAGGCGGAACACATCCAGTAAAGGAGAGGAAACAAATTACAAGCGGGACCTCGAGAGAGGGTCTTCCTCTGCCCTTCCATCACCGCCGGGTGCGGCTCACGCGGACGACAGACAGCACCGGTTCTCCGGCTGGCTTTCCTGCTTTAGGGAGCAGCGCCGAGC